TTACAGCATCCGCAGTTCTTTTGGTTTTTATTTAGGAAGATGTTCAATTTTATACTGAAAAGCTCATTGATAATTGTGTTGTTAAGATCTAGATAAGCCATGAATATGTGGCTGTGGCATCCCTTTTCAATGGGATTAAAAAAATTGTCTCGGAATATTTTGCCTGGCAGCATGCACTTGCAGGATGCTATCTAAAAGAACATTGGTAGAAGATGTGCAATAGATTTACTGTAGCCTATTATCTTGATGACATAGACATAAATTTAGGCTAACAATGGATAAAAACATTGTGGAGATAAATTGCAAAAAAAAATTATGTTGAGTTTGGCAAGGCCTGATTTGCTAACTTGAAACAAAAACAGAAGTTGCTGGAAAAGCTGAGCAGGTCTGGCAGCATCCATGAAGAAAAATCAATGTTAACATTTTGGGTCCGGTGACCCTTCCTCAGTTCTGAATTGGTGATAGTCTGGGAAAATTGGAAGGTTATCACAGATTTCCCTTGCATACTTCCAGGAAATGGCTTCAGACAAGACCATCAGTGAATCAGAAGTTTGGTTGGATACTACCGAGAATTATCATAGAATCATAGAATCTCTACAGTGTGGAAACAGGCCCTTTGGCCCAACAAGTCCACATGAAGAGAAAGCTCAAATAGTAGCTATAGAGCGTAGGGGATAAACTGGGGTCAGAGAAGTGGAAGGTAAATAGAAATGCACAGTTGAAGGAGATCGCAAGGAAAAAACAAAGAAGACCTTACTTGTGACTATGCCAGCTAAATGATCTCCAAGTCCAAATCAAGCATATAACTGAATAGCTTTTACTGTGTTATCTCCCATGTAAAATATCTTGGGTTCTTTAGCTGCTCTAATGAATTGCAGTTTACATAATCTTTCAGTGGAATTTTATTCAGATTTATAGATTTACTGCTGAATGAGACTGACAGCAAGATATTTTGCAAGGGTTCAATAAGGTAGTGAATTTCTTTTTCTCTCTGAGAGAATCGTGATTTTAAAATTTGAGCTGGGCTGTTCTTTTGAGTGAAATCAAGAAGCATTTTTCACAAAAAGGGTAGTGGAAATCTGGAATTCACTTCCCTAAAAATCTGTGGCTGGCTGGGGGAGAGGGGGAGTTGGGGGGAGGTGGGGGATGTGGAGTGGCGGGGGGGGGGGACAATCGAGCCTTCAAAACTGAGATTTGTTGTCCCTTTTACATTAGGGAAGGGAATTGTAGGGTAATGAGTTTAAAGCAGTTAAAGAGCATTGAGGTACAGATCAATTGAAATCTCATAGAATAATTGGAGTAGTCTTACAACTTACTAAATTACTGCATTTTCTAAGTTACCGTTCCCTTTTTGCTTCAGAGGTTTTCTCTGGATATCAAGAACTCGGATCCCAAAATGTTATTTGAGCATGACGTATTTATTCAACACTCAGAAAGAAACTTCAACCCAGTAAGAAAAAGTAGATAGAAAGGATAAGGCAAGGCAATGTTACAGATAGCAGTGTGTGACTCGGATGGACAGAGTGTTCAAATGTAAATGCATCGGTGAATCAGGCCGAGTAAGGTAAAATGGTAAAAAGATAATATTAAAGGCCCTTTTATCTAAAAGTATGCATCATTCATAACAAGATGGATGAATTGATTGTACAAAGAGAAATAAATCTGCATTATATAATAACCATTACAGAGACTTAGAGTCATAGAGGCATACAGCATGGAAACAGACTCTTTGGTCCAAATGACCACACTGGGATTTTTCAAAGGATGTGGAGAAAGGGAATATTGTTGTGGCTTAGTTAATACTGGATAAGATCATAGTGGCAAATAATCATGGTTTGAAGCGACAACTATAGAATCTGTTTCATTGGAGATTAGAAATAGCAAGGAATTAAGTCACTGGTGGGAGTGGTTCATAGACAGCCATACAGTAAGTACAGTGTAGGACAGACTATAAATCAAGTAATAAAGGTGGTTTGTAAGAAAGGTACTGCATTATTTGTAAAAGATTCTCATGTTACAAATTAGACAATCAAGTTGGCAAATGCAGTCTGGAGGTGGAGCAGCTACATATCAAGGAAATGTGCTGATGGAGCGGCCGCAGGGCAGCGAGATGCAGTGATGGAGCGGCCGCAGGGCAGCGAGATGCGGTGATGGAGCGGCCGCAGGGCAGGGTGATGCGGTGAGGGAGCGGCCGCAGGGCAGGGAGATGCGGTGAAGGAGTGGCCGCAGGACAGGGAGAGATGGGGGCCGCAGCTAGGAGGGGTGGAAAGGAAGCAGCTACAAGGTGGGGAAGGGGTTCAAGGGATTGCTGCTGTCAATAACTCGACAAAATTCAAAATCTCTGAAAAGCAAGGCTCACTGAGCAGACCTTGAAGGGTTTATGAGTAATACTATGTTCACAGACAGAATGTAAGGAGCAGTGATGGCAAGGGATCTGATGCGATGCTGGAAGAACAATCGATGAACAGCATTCTTGCTATATTTGTCTCTGACTTCTTCAAGAACATAGGTGATGAGTTCTGTCAGTCAGCTGAATTCAAACTGTTTTTGTAATCTGTTATAGAGTCATAGATTATGCTAATCCTTAATGTTTTAGAGAACATTGAAAATTGAAAGGTTATCCCAGATTATCACATACTTTCTCATCCCCATCTGCAAAATTGCCTGGGATTGTCCAAGAATTGGACAGTTCTCTCCTTCTGGTCTCCAAGTAGTTGATCAGACTACTTTGTTCTGGGCTAGCTATTGTAACCAAGTGTCCGTGTACCGAATATTACCTGGGCTAGTTCAAGAGTCAGAACGAAGAGAATGATTACTTTTCTTAATCCAATATCCAAGTAGCTGATCAACCTACTTTGCCTTGAGCTAGCGCGCTATCATTTATATAAGGACACAGATCCTTATCAGTGCTTGCTATTCACATGATCAGTTCTGGATAGGCCAAGCCTGCTTTCTCAAGGCTGTGATTGGCCAGTTGTCTTTTGGGAGCCTCATCAAGTTTTTAATCATCATACATAGCTAGTTCTCTGTTCTCAAGTCCTCTCACAACTAATGAAATGATAATTTCATCTCCACCGATTTCTCAGTTTCTGAACAACGAGCCAATTCGGTGTGTTAGTTATAAACTTAACAGTGTCTTTCATCTGATCAGTTTAGTATTTGATCTTAACTTAAAAGATGATGCTCTAGTTTTTGTTCATTCAATTCTTTCATTGCATTGTAACTGTATTATTAATCAAATTATAAGCTTGGAATTAAGATAGCCAGACTGCAGGAATTAAAGATCACTTAAACATTGATTTCTGCAACCAAACTTCATGCCAGTCATTATAAGTTAATAGGATCAATTGAACGCCACATTACAGATTCAGCATGTTCCACCCTGGCCACTCCCAGAAGCTTGTTTGTCACACCATTTGCAGGGGTACTGGGAAAAGAGGGAGATTGCTTCCAAGCTTGAGAGTCTGAACAACTAACTGGTCTTCCTATTCCTAAATTTCTGATTTTTCCAGCTTTTGCACATTGATCTGATGAGCAAGAAAAAAATGAATCTGTAGCAAAAAATGTTGGACATGCAAGGTCTAACATTATCATTTGAAAAATGCTATATTCCATTATCAAGGAGGTAGTAACAGGACATTTAGCAAAGCACAATACAATCAGAAAGAGTTGACGTTGTTTTGTGAAAAGGTAATTGTATTTGACAAATTTAATTCGAGTTCCTTGAGGATGTAACAAGCAGCATGGATAAAGGGTTCCAGAAAATGACAATATAATTTTGGATTTCCAAATAGTATTAGATAACGTAAAAGTTTACTTGTGATCTGGTTGCTGGTGTCTGCAAAGCAGAGTTGCTATCCTGGGGTAAGGAACCTGTATAACAGATGGACAGGGGAGCTACCATAAAGTTTGAATCTAACACCAATCTTCTGAGGAAGGGCCACTGAATCCGAAACTTTCACTCTGATTTCTGTTCACAGATGCTGCCAGACCTGCTGAGCTTTTCCAGCTATTTCTGTTTTCATTTCTGATTTACATCATCCACAGGTGTTTTTACTCACCATTCTTTTGGCCTCCTGGTTTTTACCACATTCAGTCAGTTAATGAGATGCAATTGCCAGACTTAACACAGAACAGTACAGCACAGTACAGGCCCTTCAGTCCATGATGTTGTGCCAACCTATTATCTTACTAAGATCAAACTACTCTGCATACCATGCATTTTACTATCCTCCGTGTGCCAATCCAAGAGTCGCTTAAAAGTCTCTAAAGTATCTGACTGCACTACCACTGCCTGCAGCGCATTCCACATGCCCACCGCTCTCTATGTAAAGAACCTACCTCTGACCTCTCCCCTAAACTTTCCTCCAATCACCTTAAAATTATGCCCCCTCGTAATAGTCATTTCCATCCTGGGAAAAAGTCTCTGGCTATTCACTCTATCTATGCCTGTCATCATCTTGTACACCTCTATCAAGTCACCTCTCATCCTTCTTCACTCCAATGAAAAAAGCCCTAGCTCCCTCAACCTTTCCTCATAAGACCTGCCCTCCAGTCCAGGTAGCATCCTGGTCAATCTACTCTGCACCCTCTCTAAAGCTTCCACATCCTTCCTATAATGAGATGACGAGAACTGAACACAATATACCAAGTGTGGCCTAACCAGGGTTTTATAGAGCTGCAGCATAACCTCGCGGCTGTTAAACTCAATTCCCCTGCCAATGAAAGCCAACACACCATACGCCCTCTTTACAACCCTATCAACTTGGGTATTAACTTTGAGGGATCTATGGATGTGGACCCCAAGATCCCTCTGTTCCTCCACACTGCCAAGAATCCTGCCATTAACCCTGTGTTCTGCATTCAAATTTGACCTTCCAAAATGAATCACTTCACACTTTTCCAGGTTGAATTCCATCTGCCACTTCTTTGCCCAGCTCTGCATCCTGTCAATGTCCAGTTGCAACCTACAACAGCCTTCCATGCTAGCCACAGCTCCACCAACCTTCATGTCATCAGCTGCACCAATTCAGCATACAAACATCCCACACCCAGTCCAAGTCACTGCCAAAATAAGTTGTTACGTTAAAGCACACTTTGGGCTCACCACCTGCCTCATGCTGTTTTTGATTTGGTGTTCTGCCAGAGCAGAGAAGGAAGACCCCCTGACTCCAAATATTTGTTCTATGATCCAATCTATGGCGGTCGCAAGGCACAAGTTGAGAATCCCTGATATAGTGCCTTTCATCACAAAAGGACGTTCCAAAGCACACACAGCTCTTGAAGTTTTTTTTAATGTGGTAATATTAGAAAGCACAACAATCAATTTGATACAGCAAAGTGCAATGATGAGATAATGATCAAATCGTTATTTTTTGTGATGCTGGTTAGGGTTAAGTATTAGCCAAGATAGTAGGGAGAATTTCCCTACTTTTCTTCAAATTGTGTAATGGTATCTTTTAAATCTACATAATTGGGTAGACATCATCTTGATTTAACATCTTATTGTAGATATGGACAACAAGCAAAAAGATGATTGATAAGCTGCATGCATTTGAAATGTGGATATATAGGATTCTCTGCAGATCCAAACAGATAAACTAATTGCTGGAGACAATAGGAAATTTGTACATAATGTGAAAGGGAGAAAGACCTAGTATATTGGTCACAGCATTAAAGTAAATAGTAGACAGACATTTATTTTAAGGAAATATTGTAAGAAAATGTAGGACAGGTAAGCAGAAGGAAAATATTGATGACAGAAATGGACTGGTGTTGTTGACCTACGTGGAATGTGTAAGGGCAGCACAGGATTGACAGAAGGGAAAGATCCATGCTTGTCAACTTTCTAGAAATAAGATGACACCAACAAATAAATAAACAAAATGTTCACGCCTTCAACAGTACAGACATCCTGAGTATGTCCTGAAGTGTCAGTTTAAATTATGTACTCAATTTGAGGCAAGTGTAAAAAAGCTGACACCTTACGATTGTGGTCTCCAGTAGATCATGATTGACTCTCTGTGCACAACTCTGACCATTGGCTTCACTATCTATCTGCATTCCTTCGCCGTGTGTATCTCTTGCATTTGATCTCACTGCCTGCCCACATTCTCTCACTGTGCACCCATTAATCGCAATATTGCACTTCCAAAAGGTGTGCGGCTGGAGAAAATTGCATGTTCGTAACAGACTTTGCCGGTTTGTTGAATCATGCTTTGGTTTGGTCAAGATGGACTATAATTGCAGGGTAAAGTAAGTTTTTTGTGACAACACAAACAAATAAGAAATGTACTAAGAACTGATGTTTGAGGCTAGTGTAGAGTCATACAGCTGTACAGCATTGAAACAGATCTTTCCGTCCAACTCGTCCATGCCAACCAGATATCCTAAATGAATCCAGCCTCTCTCAACCCTTCTTATTCATATACCCATCCATGTGCCTTTTAAATGTTGTAATTTTACAAGTCTCCACCATTTCCTCTGGCACCTCATTCCATACACACACCATCCTCTGCGTGGAAAAAGTTGTCTCTTAGGTCCCTTTTAAATCTTTTCCTCTCACTTTAAATCTATGTCCACTAGTTTTGGACTCCCCCATCCCGGGGAAAATACCTTGGCTATTCACCCCATCATCATGCCCTTCCTGATTTTATAAACCTCTGTAAGGTCACCCCTCAGTCTCCGACGCTCCAAGGAAAATAGCCCCAGCCTATTCAATCTCTCCCTATAGCTCAAACCCTCCAACCATGGCAACATCCTTGTAAATCTTTTCTGAACTCTTTCAAGATTCACAACATCTTTTCAATAGCAGGGAGACCAGAACTGCACGCAGTATTCCAAAAGTGGCCTAACCAATGTCCTGTATGGCTGAAACATGATCTCCCAACTCCTATACTCAGTGGACTGACCAATGAAGACAAGCATACCAAATGCTATCTTCACTACCCTGTCTACTTGGGACTCCACTTTCAAGGAATTATGAACATGCACTCCATGGTCTCTTTCTTCAGCAACACTCCCCAGGACCTTACCCTTAAGTGTATAAGTCCTAGCTTGATTTGTCTTTCCAAAATGCAGTACCTCATATTTATCTAAATTAATCACCATATGCCTCTCTTCAGCCCATTGGTCCATCTCATCAAAACCCATTGTACTCTGAGGTAACCTTCTTCACTGTCCACTACACCTCCAATTTTGGTGTTATCTGCAAACTTACTAACCATACCTACTATGTTCACATCCAAATCATCTATATAAATGACAAAAAGCAGTGGATCCAGCACTGATCCTTGTGGAACACCACTGGTCACAGGTCTCCAGTCTGAAAAGCAACCCTCCACCACCACCCTCTGTCATCTATCTTCAAGCTGGCTCTGTTTCTAAATGGCTAGTTCTCCCTGTATTCCACGTGATGTAACCTCATTAACCAGTCTGCCGTGTGGAATCTTGTTGAACACCTTACTGAAGTCCATATGGATCACATCCACTGCTCTGCCCTCATCAATCCTCTTCATTACTTCTTCAAAACACTCAATCAAATTAGTGACACATGATTTTCCATGCACAAAGCCATGTAAATCTCGTGTATTACAGTATTAGAAATAAAGAAGGCTATTCAGTCCATCATGTCCATGGGAACTATCTGCAAGATCAGCTCAGCTGGTCTTGCTCCTCTTCCTGTGTTCTGTGTACCTGTAGTTTTCTTCTTCCACTACTTATCTATGTGCTGGATGAAGCAACAGATTGATGTCATAAACTGCAAGTTGAAGCGATTGAATGATGAACTTAGGCTATCTAAAAATGAACCAAAAATGTACAACTTCCATGTGGAACAGGAAGTTGAATTGCTGTTCACAAACATAAAAGCTAAGAGCACTTGTCATTATATATCACCAAAATATAAGGAAAAGTAAAAAGGGGAATTTGGAACAACACTACACAAGTGATACACAGTAAATTCAAGGATAGTTTTGCCTTGATCAGCATGCTTCAGATGAATGCTGTTTGGAAAGCTCAACAGTAATTTTTGACTGGACCAGCAGCATAAGGAAAGGCTTACACTGAAGCATCATTTTTTGTTTGCCATTTTCTGGCAAAACACGAGATCATCCACAGGTGGCAAAGATATTAAAAGAGCAATAATAGCAGGCACTGACTCTTTATTCATTGACGACTTTAAGAGCAATGAAGAAACAATAATGGCAATCCAGAACAAGTCGCTCGGTGCATCCACAGTAGCAGGACAAGTGGAACCTTTGTCTGAAGACATGTTTCGGCAACAGTTGGACCTGAAGGACTGAATGCTTCTCATTTCAGTTCTTTGAATCTGTCGACACAATCCAACTAATAGTTTTTGTATGCATGGTTTTTAAGGACATACCAGCTAAAGAGAATCTTCTCACCTAAATGCCCCTTAAAGAGAACAAGTGATGAGGTATCTACAAAAAATTCAAAAAATATGTGCATAAGAAAGACATTCCAATCAAGAAACTGGATTCCATTACAACCGATGTTGCCGTAGCCATGCTTGGAGCAAATGCCGGTTTTGTTGCATTTTGTAGAAATGCTCCTGATTTCCCTTCTCTTATCAATTATCACTGTATAATCCACCATTAAGCACTTCTTTCATGTGACGTAAACTATTATTAAGAAAATAAACTCACTCAATTCAAGCAAAAGCCCGTGACTGCTTATTAAACTCTAACTCAACAAACTCCATATTACCTATGGTGAGCTTAACCGCCTACATCAGCATGCATGATAACTTGAGGGAATGTCCTGCAAAGATTTTTAGATCTGGTGCCTGAAATAGTTACCTTCCTTAAATCAAGGGATGAAGTATGCAGTGAGCTGTCCGATTTTTGGGTTCCTTACAGACATAAGGTCAAAACTAAACAAGCCGAACTGTGAACTGCAGGGAAAAAACAGAGACTCAAAACATGATCGGTGCTGTAAATACATTTAAATTGAAATTGGGTCTGTGGTCCTCCCATTAAAAAAAAAACTCTGCAATATTTCCTGAGTCAGGAGAAAATACTAGCAAAAACTCAAAGCCAAAGGGAAATGGTTTCACCCAGAAAAGTTGCGTGCATATCTGAGGAAGTTAGAGGAATTCAACAGAATTAGCAGTGACAAAACAAATTATCATATTTGTCAGAAGTCCATTCCTTCAAGTAGATATTGGTGGGTTAATTATAAAATTCCAATAGTATTTTCACTACACTTGCTAAAATGATTTCATGTTTTATGCATGTTTGAAAATATACTGAATTACATTTATGCATTGTAAAATAGTCTAATGAAGAATGAGATTTACTTGCCTGAAAAGGTTTGTGATGTCTGGTTGCTACAAGAAGAAAAACCTAAATGAGTAATATGTTTTTTTCACAGGTCCTGATTTGGAGTTCAGCATGCATGATGGTACAATCCGAGACCTTGCTTTCATGGAGGGCCCCGAAAGTGGAGGGGCGATCTTAATCAGTGCTGGAGCTGGAGATTGTAATATTTATACAACAGATTGCCAACGAGGCCAGGGATTACATGCACTTAGTGGACATACAGGTTTGAAATACCTTAAATTGATATTGCTTTCATAACTAGAAACAGTTGATAGATGAAAATAATACTTTTTTTGAATGAAAAGTGACTTTTTTGTAACTCTAAAACTTGAATCAATTATGGATCATACCTATTACTGTCCAGGATTCACTGTGATTACTATGTGAGAAATCTTGTTTGAATTTTTTACGCTGAATTTAATAGTAGAAAATGTATTTTAATATGTAATGTATTGGGAGCTAGGGATCTGTCATCATCTGCATTTTAGACTCCTTAAAATAGGCCTTGAAAGGCAAGGTTGCAATAATTGCTCTGGTTGTCCTCTATCTTGCAAAATAGATATTTATTCCCTTTTTCTTAAATAATTATTTTATGTTATAGAAAATAATGCCATGTACCAGGATGAATAGATGGCCTGAATTTGTTGCCTCAACTGATTTTTGCACTTGTGTTTTTCATGTTTCATCACTGCCTTTTTTTTCTTAAATACAACAAATTAGAAGATTCTCCTTCTTCATGATTTTAATTTCCAAGAACAAATAAATAAGAATGTAATAGTATGGTATTAGTTAGAGATTAATTTTTTCAGTGCACTATAAAATCTAATGCTATACTTGCCAAAAGCTATTGAAATTAAACGAGAAGAAATGAATTTGAAGACAAACAAAAAATATAATTTTCATTCAGGCTTCTTTGCACATTATTATACAGAATTGTCTCAATGTGAAAATGTTGACAATTCTTGTCAGAGTTTTGCCTTTTTAACAGTTTTACTTTGATCATGTATAATCGGGAAAAATACATCAGATTAAAAGTAGATGCTCATGAAGAATAATTGTAAGCTTGTGTGTAAGAAACTTTTAGAAGCAAGCAAAACAGATCCTAAGAGCTTCTTCATAAATGCAGGAAAGAGGAGATTAGCAGAAGTTGGTCTTTAGGGGGTGAGACAGGACAAATTATAGTCGGGGGAATAAGAAAATGACAGACATTAAACAGATATTCTGTATTTGCTTTCACATAAAAGACACACAGAGCATTATCAAAAATAGTGGACGCCAAAAGGCTTTCTTTTGTGAGGAACCTAAAGTTATTCAATTTCAAAAAAAATGTTGGAGAAGTTAACGGGACTATACATGTTAGGTTTCTAAAAAAAGGCAGGTGGAAAAATCTTGGATGTTTTGTTTGTGATCTTTACAAACTCACTAAATTCTAGAAGGAATGGATTGGAAACTAACAAAGGTAATACAACAGTGATGTTCAAGAAAGGATAGAGACAGAAATTAGGATGACTTAGACCAGTTAGCCTAACATCAGTTATTGAAAGAAAATGTTAAAAGTTATTATTACTGAGGTGTTACAAAGTGCTTGGAAAATCAGGATAAGATCAAACAGAGTCAACATGATTTATGAAATGGACATGATGTTTGATAAATTAATTGTGAGTTTTGAAGATGCAACTAGCAGGGTAGAAAAGGGGGAACCAGTAGACGTCATATTTATACTTCTCAGCACATCCAAATGTAAGGTGCTACATAAAACATTATCACAGAAGATGAGAGTGGAGTGGTGGAGTTGTAGATAATGAGGAAGGTTGTCAAAAGATAAAGAATGATATAGATCAGTTGGAAAGTTGGGAAGAAAACTAGCAGATGGAGTTTAAACTGGACAAGAGTGAGGTGATGGGACGTCAAATGCAAGAGGAAAGTGTACAGTAAATGGCAGAACCCTTAGAAGCAGTGATATACAGAAGGATCTTGGGATCCAAGTCCATAGCTCCCTGAAAGTGGTGACAAAAGTGGATAAGATGGTAAAGAAGATGTACAGCATGCTTGCCTTCATCAGTTGGGGCAGTGAGTATGAAACGTGACAAGTCATGTTGCAGCTGACTAAAACTTTACTTCGGCCACATTTGGGGTATTGTGTGCAGTTCTGGTCACCACACTATGGAGTCATTGAGTCATACAGCACAGAAACAGACTCTTCAGTCCAATCAGTCCATGCCGAACATAATCCCATAACATAAACTAGTCCCACCTGCTTGCTCCTAGCCCAGATCCCTCCAAACCTTTCCTATTCATGACCTTATCGAAATACCTTTCAAACGTTATAACTGTACCTGCTTCCACCACTTTCTCTGGCAGATCATTCCACTTCTGTCAGTGTTAAAAGAAAGTTACCCGTCATGTCCTTTTTAAATCTTTCTCTTCTCAACTTAAAATTGTGCCCATCTAGTTTTGAACTCCCCCACCTTAGAGAAAAAACCCTTGTCATTCACCTCATCTATGCCCCTTGTGATTTTATAAACCACAAGGTCCTGCCTCCATCTCCTACTCTCCAGTGAAAAAACTCCTAGCCTTTCCAGTCTATTTTTATATCTCAAACTCTCCATTCCCGGCAACATCCTGGTAAATCTTTTCTGAACCTTCTCCAGTTTAATAGTATCCTTCCTATAACAGGGTGACGACAAACTGAACACAGAACTCCAGAAGAGGCCTTACCAACATCCTGTACAACCTCAACATGACATTTAAAGTTTTGGCAAAGATCTGTAGCTCATGTTGTGGGTGAGGTTATTGACTTGCTGGCCATCTGGCTTGTTCTCGTTCTGACGTTTCGTCATCGTGCTAGGTGACATCATCAGTGAAGCCTCTGATGAAGTGATGTTATTCTACTCCGCTGGGAATTTATACTATCTGGTCCATTATAGTGAGTAGTGTCATTTCCGGGTTTGATCTGAATGGTTTTGTATATGGGGTCCAATTCTGTATGTTTGTTGATTGCATTATGGGTGGAGAATCATGCCTCTAGGAATTCCCATGCGTGTCTATGTTTGGCTTGGGCTCCCATGGTTACCTTGTTCCAGTTAAACTGATGGCCTTCATTGTCCGAGTGTACCAACATTAGGGAGAGTTCATCGTGCTGTTTTGCTGCTAGCTATGTTCCTGGGTAGTTTCCTTCCTGTCTCTCCGATGCAATGTTTGTGGCAGTCTTTGCATGGTATTTTGTAAACTACGTTAGTTCTGCATGTTGTGGGAATGGGGTCTTTAATCTTTGTAAGTGTTTGTCGTAGAGTGGTTGTGGGCTTGTGGGCTACCATGATTCCTAGTGGTCTTAGGAATCTTGTCAGTTCCAATATGTTCTTGATGTAGGGCAGTGTGGCCAGTGTGTTAGGGTGTACTGTGTCCTCCTGTTGTTGTCTATTTAGCAGGCATTTGCGGATAAAGTTGCGGGGATATCCACTTATAGTGAGGATTTTGTATAGGTACTCTTCCTCTTTCCTGCGTAGAGATGGAGTGTTGCAGTGTGTCCTGGCCTGTTTAAATAGTGTCCTAATGCAACTTTGTTTGTGGACGTTGGGGTGGTTGCTGTGGAAGTTGAGGATTTGATCAATATGGGTTGATTTTCTATATACTGAGGTTTGGAACTCCCTGTTGGCCATACGCTCAACTTTAACATCCAGAAATGGAAGTTGATTGTTGTTTTCTTCTCCCCTTGTGAATCTAATCCCTGCAAATACACTGTTGATGAGGTGATAGGTCTCTTCTAACTTCATCCGCAGATGCTTACTAAATAGACAAGAACAGGATGACACAGTACGCCCTAATACACTGGCTACACTGCCCTACATCAAGAATATATCAGAACTGACAACAAGACTCCTAAGACCACTAGGAATCATGGTAGCCCACAAGCCCACAGCCACTCTACAATAAACTCCTACAAGGATTAAAGACCCCATTCCCACAACATGCAGAACTAATGTGGTTTACAAAATACCATGCAACGACTGCCACAAACATTACATCGGACAGACAGGAAGGAAACTAGCCATCAGAATACATGACAATCAACCAGCAGCAAAACGGCACGACGAACTCTCCTTCATATCTGTACACTCAGACAATGAAGGCCATCAGTTTAACTGGGACAAGGTAACCATAGTAGCCCAAGCCGAACACAGACATGCACAGGAATTCCTAGAGGTATGGTTCTCCACCCGTAATGCAATCAACAAATATATAGAATTGGACCCTATATACAAACCCAAATAGATCAAAATCGGAAATGACAGTACACACCATAATGGACCAGACAATATAAATTCCAAGTGGAGTAGAATAACATCGCTTCATCAGAGGCTCCACTGATGATGCTACCTAGCATGGTGACGAAACATCTGAACGAGAACAAGCCAGCTCAGCGAGCAAGTCAACATCCTCAATATGACATGCCAACCACTCTGTCTACCTTTATCACAAATTTCAAAGAAAAATGTACCTGAACCCCTAGGTCTCTCAGTTCTACAACACTACCCAGGGCCCTACCATTAATTGTATAAGTCCTGCCCTTGTTTGTTTTACCAAAATACAATACATCTATCCAAATTAAACTCCATCTGTCATGCCTCAGCCCATTGATCAAGATCTCTTTGTAATCTTAGATAACCTTCTTCACTGTCCACTGTACCACCAATTTTGGTGTCATCTGCAAACTTACTAACCATGCCTCCTATGTTGTCATCCATATCATTTATACAAAAGTGGACCCTATACTGATTCCTGTGGAATACCGCTGGTCACAGGCTTCGAAGCCGAGAAACAACCCTCCTCCACTACCCACAGTCTCCTATCATAAAGCCAATTTTGTATCCAATTGGCAAGCTCATCCTGAATCCCATGTGATCTAACTTTACTGCTTATTCCATTTAATAAATGGAGGATGTGGAGGTAGTGGAGAGGGTACAAAAGACATTTATTAGGATGTTGTCTGGATTGGAATGTAGGAGAGGTTGGACAAACTTGGTTGTTTTCACTAGAGCATTGGAGGTTGAGGGATGACCTGAAAGAAGTACATAAAGTTATGAAAGGCGTTGATAGGGTAGACAGTCAGAGTCTTTTTCTCAGAATGGAAATGTCAAAAATGAGGGACATAGGTTTAAGGTGAGAGGGATAAAGTTTAGAGGAGATATGTGAGGAAATTTGTTTGCACAGAGGGCCGTAAGTGCTTGGTCTGTGTGGTTAGGGGAGGTGGTAGAGACAGATATGTTAGCAAAATTTGAGGCATCTAGACAGGCACGTGATTAGTCAGGGAATAAAGGGATACGGATCATGTGAAGGCAGATCATGGTCGGCACAGACATGGTGGGCTGAAGGGCCTGTTCCTGTGCTATATTGTTCTGTGTTCTGAGAGCTCATGTAATTGAACATATTTGCATAGATAAGGACATTAGTGAGGCCTCTTCTGGATACTGTGTCCAGTTCTGGTCACCCAATTATAGGAAGGATAAGTTAGAGTGTGTCAAGAAGAGATTTACCAGCATGTTACTGGGTATGGAAGGTTTGAGTTTAAAAGAAAGGCAGGATAGTCTGGGACTCTGTGACTATATTACTCTGAGACAGATGCTTGGCCATTGAGTAGAAAACAAAGAGCAAAAATAAAGCCAATATTTTCAAATGGCAGGCTTCTTGGGCCTCGGCTATTTACAATCTAGCATAATAACTTGGATGAAGACAATAATCCATCAAAGTTTGCTGATAATACAAAGGTGCGTGAGACATTAGGATTTTCGGAAGACTCCTAGAAATAGGTAAGTTGTGATAGAAATAAATTCATTGTTGGAGTACAGGGTGAGCAAATGTGAGGTGCTTACTTAGGTAGCAGAAACGAAAAGTCAGGTTACTTTATAAATGGTAAAAAAAAAATTTTTTAAAGTATCATCATTTAGAAAAATTAGACAGTCCTTGTACAAGAAACACAAAATTAACACGCAGGTTCAGCAAGGCTTTTAAGGTTTGAGAGAAATTCCTGGTATGTCATGGTTTTGTTTTAATTCTCTTGTGGGACATGGGCATTGCTAGCTGACCGGAATTTATTACCCATCCCTAGTTGCCTTTGAGTAAGTGATGGGGATCTGCTTTCTTGAACCACTACAGTCCACATTCTGTAGGTTGACCAACAATGCCCTTAGGGAGGTACTCCAGGATTTTGACCTAGCAACAGTGAAGGAACAGGATCAAATTTTCAAGTCAGGATGGTGAGATGCTTGGAAGGGAACTTGCAGATGGTGCTGTTACCACGTGTCTGCTGCCATTGTCCTTTGTGGTCATGGGTTTGGATAGTGATGTCTAAGGGCCTTTGGTAAATTTCTGCAGTGCATCTTGTAGATTGTGACAATGTATACTGAGTGTTGGCAGTGGAGGGAGTGGATGGTAGTGGATGTGGTGCCAATCATGTGGGCTGCTTTGTCCTAGATGGTGTCAAGCTTGAGTTTGTTGGAGCTGCACTCATCCAAGAAACTGGGAAGTGTTACATCACATTCCTGACTTGTGCGTTGTAGTTGAACAGGCAACAGGCTTTGGGCAGTCAGGAGGTGCGTTAATCTCTGCAGTATTCCTAGCACCTGTTGATCTTTGATGAAAGGTTGAATGCAATGGGTGTCTGCCATTTGGGATTTAGGAGAATGAGGTGATCTTGTTGAAATTTCCAAGATTATGACAGGTCTTGACTGCGTAAAGGCTAAGAAGCTATTTCCAGAAGATTCCAGACTGGAGAGAGACTAAGATGAGTAGGAATTTCTTTGGTCAGAGGGTGTCACCTTTTGGAATTCTCAACCCCACACTACTGTGGATTCTAAGCTAGTGAATATTTTCAAGGCTACAATGGGTTGATATTTGAATTCTCGAGGCACCAGGGAATATGGCGATTGAACATTCCTGTACCATCCAAGTCTGTGTTTATGTTAAGAGGTCAGATTCTGCATTAATAGCAGGAATGTTTTCAGCAGCAACCATGATTATTACACAGTTGAAGTACTTCTCAGTGCAGAAAAGGTACCACTATTTAAACTTTATGTCAAATGATAGAAATGTATGGAATGTTGTTTGACTGTATTTGTTTCTGATTTTGTAAAGTTTATGTTCCAGAACATGTGCATTGTATCTAAAATATTTTTTCTTTTGGTACGTTTAATTGTGGTCAATTTTTTTTGTGAACAATCTGAAAATCGCATCCAAATAGATCTCCCATCGTTCTTGGTGGGTCCTTGATATATTATGGCCACAGTGTTCAAAACTTTGAAAATGTAATTTGAAGGTTTTTGTTTGGAAGAAGATATAAATGGTACATGATGAGTTGTGAGCTTCTGAGTGTAAATAAGTCCGGTTTAGAAAGGAAAGTAGAGACTTCAAAGGCCCATCCAGAGTGTTTCCATAAGTGTTCATTCAGCTTCATTGTGACAAATGGTTATGCATGCGAGAAAAGATTATATCCCATCTATCATATTACATTTGTAAGTTTCACTGTGTCAGAGTTTTTGGTTTTTATGAATTTTAAGTCCTGGAGGATTATGTTTTGTGAAGCATGGCAACATCTTGTTTAACTTTGTAACATAATGGATGATTGTCTTCACCAGTGCAAACATTTAGTAATTCAGTTTTGGGTGACTATATTTAATCATGTCTACTTTTTGGGCGTGTCTGTCAGGTTTTCATGATTGTGTAAGACAGATATGTGAGATATTGCTCACATGTTAATTGGACATTACTGGTTTAATGTGGGCAAAATCTGAGACAGTGTTTTCAGAAAATCTGCTAGGCATCAAGGAATAGAGAGTCTCCATCTGCTAAGTTGATAATTCCATATGGTTTGTGAATGATATCTGAATAATGAAGAAAAAAATACTTATTTTGTACTATCATCTTCTTTGTTTGGATTATAGTATCCCTCACACGCTATGATGCATTGTTGTTCAGGTTTTTTTTATGGTTCTGGAGTAAAATCTTATTTAGCATGCAGTAGATCAAAAATAATTTTGTTAAGTTGAAAGCAGATGCTACGGGAGAAAGGGTGGACAATTGGCAATATCATTCATCGGGTTAAAGAAAAATGCTTTCTTCAGTTTGCAAGAACTACTTTGCATCTTTTCTAGCTCTGGTTAGCCAAATATGAAAAGGGATGAATCAAACATAATTCTCCATCTCTTGATGATGTCTGATGTTGAAGTTTGTTCTGTTTTTGTAAACAAATAAATATACATTTCTTTTATAAGTGGCCACCATAGCTTGGATTACTTTAGACATCAATGTTGTTTTGTGACTAGGTCATATTCTAGCACTGTATACTTGGGGAGGATGGATGATTGCATCTGGCTCACAAGACAAGACTGTAAGGTTCTGGGATCTGAGAGTGCCAAGCTGTGTTCGTGTTGTTGGAACTGCATTTCATGGATCAGGTAAGTGTAGGTCTGCTCTTGGTGATTGATTTTCATTTGAGAAAAAAAATGGAGCAAAAGCCAGCATGGTTGAGTCTGGTATAGTCACTAGGTAAAATAAGGTTTACCATTCGTATCCAACAAAAATTACTGACTAGGCATAAGGGCAGCTCTCATTATTCAATTTTAGTCCGTCATTTGCACTAATTTTATGGCAAGCATTTTACATACACTTGTGCAATTCAGGTAAATGTATTTTGCATCCATTTTTCCTTAAGAAATATCCATCATCATTCAGCAATAAGAAAGTAGAAGACTTGATAACCAAAGAAAGCGTTCACATTCTATTGTCTTACTACACAAAACTTTTTAAGCATATTGCCATTGCACTAATCTAATACAAATATCAAGATCACTTGTCCAATGATATCTACAATTCGCTGCTTAGAAATGCAATTAGCCACATGCAGATTCACAATTAGCCACATTTGGCTGGTGGCTACTGTATTGGAAAACAGAGTCCGGAGTTTCTGTTGGAGTGCAATGGGAAATTATACTTGAATTAAGCTAGAAATTGTCAGTTTTGCTGATGTGAGGTTACATTGAAGTTTCCACACAACTTATTGCATAAATTTGAACATCATATCTCCTATTAATCATTGAAATGAAGCATTTGATTGTAATTGATTGAAAGATGGTTCAAGATTGCTGAGTTAAACTTTAAACTAGAAATTTGAATTAATTTACAACATTCATGATTTTGAACTCCTCTAAGAAATCACAATTTTGTGTAAGGGGAATGATCCCAATTTCTCCACTCTATCCAAGTATCATCACTGGAACCATTCTCATAAATCTTTGTCTGCATCATTTTCTAATGTCTTCAAGCTGATTGTGTCCGATTCTGGGTACAATACTCCAGTTGAATCTGAAGTGGTGTTTTATAAAGGTTCATTATAATTTCCTTGCACTTGCACTTGCAGCCTCTGTTTATAACACCCAGGAAAGCATATGATATGCCTCCAGGTCTGTTACTGCATTTTTAATTGTAACCTTTGATTTATATTGCCCCCTCAATCTTCCTACCAAAATATATTACTTTGTACTGTCTTAAGTTTGATCATAGAACTGAGCCAATTTATACTCTTAGCATAGTTAGTACATACCACTTTCGGATCATTGTATAACTTTCATTACACAGGCAGTGCTGTTGCTTCTGTGGCTGTAGACCCAAGTGGAAGACTCCTAGCCACAGGTCAGGAGGATTCTAGCTGCATGCTTTATGATATCCGAGGAGGCAGAGTGGTACAAATTTACCAACCACATGGTAGCGATGTACGTTCGGTGCGGTTCTCCCCAGGAGCTTACTACCTTCTTACAGGATCTTACGACACTACTGTCAAAGTAACTGATTTACGAGGTAAATCTATTATGAGCTGTAAGTTGAAAATATTTTACAATGGTCTGTTGCTTTTCACTTTAAGCTGATTGATGCATTTATGAAGTTTTTAATATCTTTATTCACTTCTGTCTTTTTTCTCTTGCACCCTTGCTACTAATGGTAGAGAGTTCTAGTTTTGGTTGCATGGTTTGTGGCAATAAATATAATTAGGATCATTTTTGGTATGTAAGCCAATTTGTGCTTGTTCAGTATTCATGTTTGACGTTCAAGTGGAAATATCTAATAAGGATCAGAAATTAGCTGACACTATTTGAAATAGCCACACCTTAGATGGCATTAGCTAACTGTGAATAGTCTAGGAAGTGACAAAGTACATTCTGGGTTCATATGGTTCATTTTGCCCACCTGGAGAATCCAGTTTCTTATTATTTGAGGTTTCAATTATTTACATTTGTTTTCAAAGTAGTTGCATTGTTGATTATTTGTTGTAGTTGAATAGCTATGAAACTTGGCGTATGGATATATGTAACTGTAAAACTTCAGAAAAAGTATTGGTTATCAACTAGCATGTTACACGTTAACATTTGCAAATTTGTCCTAATTTGCTGCAATTAAATGCTTTAACTTTCTTCCCATAGGAGATCTAATAAAACCACTTCCGACAACAGTAGTCGCTAAGCACAAGGACAAAGTTATACAGTGTAGATGGCACACTGAGGATCTATCTTTCTTATCTTCATCTGCTGACAGGACAGTAACTCTCTGGACTTACAACAGCAGTTGATTAATTGATACCAATGCAGACAAAGCACAATTGTAATTGTAATCCAAGAGCTGAAATTTGTTGGCATTGCTGTATGTAACTGACCAGTAGAACGTATGAGACAGCAAAGTCAATATGTGCTGCTGTTCAAGCTAATTGGAACTGCTGTCTGTGTTTGTATTATTATGCTGTGCTTGGATCTTCCACAATGATCATGCTGTCACTGACTTCTGTCGCGAAATGTAACACAATGACTGAATCAAGTGAGGCAAACATTCATTTAGTATTTATGACATTCCTTATTCATTGTGCCAGTATCTAATGTAGAAAACTGGCTGAGTATTATAGATCAAATTATTGGTTATGTATGTTGATTTTACAATACGCCGAAAGGTGAATATTCACTTAATCAACCTAAACATGAATTTATTCTGATGTAGGAAGTATTAAAGCTAGCCATTTTGATAGCACAAGATGGTGAAGAACACCTGGTTGCAGAACATTTCAGACAGAACTGCTTTGCTTTTATACTTCATGTAGCATGGTTTTCCATTGTATGTGTGCATGGGTAATATTAGTACAGTATTTACAAACAGGTCTGTGAAAGCTAATAAATGCTTGTGTTCTTGCACTTACAAAGTTTTAAATAACTTGTGAAATGTTATTTTTTTCTGTTTGTACATGTAATGCTTTATTTTCTATTGTACAGTTTAGTTTAATATAAATACTAAAGTATTGTGTTCATTAATATTTAACTTGCGTATTTGTGTTTTGGTTACAAGGAGCCAGAGGATATATCCTATGCACTTCTTATAGTAGTTTGTTTTCTAACCCTTGTAATGATTGAAAATTACAAAGTGTGATTGTGCAGTGTTTTCTCAATAAAAACATTTATTTACTGATGAACGTAAAATAAAGTTGTTTCATACCAAGATTAGAAAATGATGGTTCCTTCAGTTTGGTTCAATTATTTGATCAATTATGGTATTATGCAGAAACAATGATGCATTTTCCTTCCTGAAACTGTCTGCTTGTTTCTTATTCTTTATCCTTCACATTTTCGCAAGATACTTCATATTCACATGTCATGTGCTTCTAACTCCCATTCTTTTGACAAATCTTTGCTTTGCACAGACTCACTGTGTGCCCTTTGCATAAATTTGCTTGCTGATAATTCTGTTTATTTTTTCAGAACAGAAAAGTAGAAGCTCTGATTGTGCAGCAAGAACTTTCTTGGAACTTAATCATAAGATTGCCTTTTCTAGAACTGTGAATTTGGGCCAATGCACAGACATTTTCTTGTCAATTGGAAATGACACTAGTGTGGACCACCTGAAGACAAAGAAAATGTCTTGCAAGGGACAGGTTTAAGAAATAAAGTGCAAATCCACATGGTACACGTTTCCACCTTCCCTGTTTATCATTTCAGGCTGAATTACGCTAAGCCAGGCCATTAGCATTCCTCTTCAGTTGAACCCCAAATTGATCAATCTCACATTCTATTCACCCCAAGACTTTCCATCTCTAACATTGCCCAATGAAACCTTTTATTTCTTTGACATGTAAACGCAACTACACTTTTTTTTAACATCCTGTTATCTTTGTTCAGAACTTCCGGTTTAACAAATAAATTAAAACCAAAATGTTGTCTCTGTTGTGAAACCTTATGTAACTTTGTCCCATTATATTTTTGTGATCTGTTCCATTCCTTTATCTCTTTCTGAATATTGTATATTTTTAACTCCCATGTGGATATAGATATTCCAGTGATTTGTGAACTTGGATTGTAGTTAGCTAAAAGTGAAACTTGCATTGTAGGTTTGTTAATCATAGAGTAACTACTGAACAATTTAAACAATTCACACAAGCATCAAGCAATCAATAATTGCATACAACCTTAAAAATCAAGCATTTCAGAATTATAGCAGAAGAATGATCAGCTTTATCAGCTTGAAGTGTTTTTTTTAAACTGTTGAGCATCCTTTCACTCAGCAATGCTTCTTTTGATTGTGACAAGGAATATATTACAATAATTTCATTTTCATGATTTTTTTCCATTGGAGTAAAAGTTAAATTTCAGAAGTCCCAATTTGGCTATTTGCCTACCTAGTTGTACTAAGGATAAGTAGTTGGCTGACAGTTAAAAACATGTGAAACCTTCAGTAGCCAACTGATTTTGTGAAATTATCATTTTGTATCTAAACAGTTGCTTGGTGATACAGAACTTGAATATTATCCTTTCTGAAGAAGTCATATTAGAATGAAAATGTTAACTCTGTTTCTCTCTCCACAGATGTGCCACTCCTGCTGAGTTTCTCCAGCACCTTGTTTGTGTTTCAAATTTCCAGCTGCAGTACTTTGATTTTGTTAGAACACTGTAGAAAAAAAAAAGACATGTCAATACATTTTGTCTTTCATTTACCTAGGTAATGCGAGAATACCAAATTTCTAACAGTCATAACAAATTATGCTATAGGAGAAAAAGGTGCTGATTGACCGGCAAATTGATTGATTTATGAGACGTTGCTTTCTATATCTAGTATCCATGTGAAATTAGGCTGTACATTCCTCTTCATTTCTATCCATCTCAGCACTGTTTTGCCAAGTCAGTTGCTTTGAGAACTGAAGGTTTGTACAAAGCTTATTCACTTTTCTGCACATTGCCTTTCCAATTTAAACATGCAATGTCCAAAGGAGAATAGTTAATAAGCTCCTTGTTCATTTTGTTTTTCTGTGCATCTTGTCCCTTCCCTTCTGCAGCATTCCTGGTGACAGTACCTTCAGATACTTCTGTGAAGTAGGGTACAGTTTTCTATCTGTACATGCTGTCTTAGTCATCATTGTATTATTTGTCCTTTTTTTTCCTCCTGTGGGATCTAGTAAAACAGCAGACTTGGATAGATCCTGACATAGCATACAAAATAACAAGCTTATTTATGATAAAAATAAAATGTTAATGTTCCTATCAAAACAAGTCTACAGCTACCATTTAAAGTCAGCAGGATGTAGATTGCAGTCGTGATTGCTTAAAAAGACTCACTGTATTGGTGGATATCTTAGTAGCCAACACAGTTTTTAAACTGAAGAATATGCATAATGGGAGGTACTTTACCTTGGGCTCTCACAGTGGAAAAGTGGGAAACTTTCAAGTGAGCCTGGGAAAGCTATATTCCTGTGACAAAGCTTAAGCAGGAATCATAATCTGTGTAGTCAGTGGTATTTCCCTGAGGAAGAAGTATGCAAACTTAACACTCGTGGATAGATGGGACCATGGCTGGAGACAAAAACATGATACAGCAGGTGCTGAGTAAGACCCCTCTGCATTGCTGACTGTGCGTGAAAACGTTGCCCCTTATTTTCCTTTTAAATCTTTTCCCTCACCTTAAACCTATGTCCTCTAGTTTTGGACTCCCCCACCTTGGGGAAAAGACCTTGGCTATTCACCCTATCCATGCCCTCATGATTTTATAAATCTCTAGGAGGTCACCCCTCAGTCTCCAACGCTCCAAGGAAAATACACCCAGCCTATCCAGCCTCTCCCTATAGCTCTAACGCTCCAACCCTAGCAACATCCTTGTAAATCTTTTCCGAACTCTTTCAAGTTTCACAATATCCTTTCAATGGCAGGGAGAGCAGAATTGCACGCAGTATTCCAAAAGTGGCCTAACCAATGTCCTATCCAGCTGCAACATGACCTCCCAACTCCTATACTCAATGCACTGACCAATGAAGGCAAGCATACCAAATGCCATCTTCACTACCCTGTCTACCTGGCTGTCCACTTTCAAGGAATTATGAACATGCACTCCATGGTCTCTTTCTTCAGCTACACTCTCCAGGACCTTATCATTAAGTGGGTAAGTCCTTCCTTGATTTGCCTTTCCAAAATGCAGTACCTCATATTTATCTAAATTAATCTCTATCTGCCACTCCTCAGCCCATTGGGCCATCTCATCAAAATCCCATTGTACTATGAGGTAACCTTCTTCACTGTCTACTACACCTCCAATTTTGGTGTTATCGGCAAACAAACTAACCATACCTCCTATGTTCACATCCAAATCCTTTATGCAAATGACAAAAAGCGGTGGACTCTGCACCGATCCTTGTGGCAGATCACTGGTCACAAGTCTCCAGTCTGGAAAGCAACCCTCCACCACCACCCTCTGTCATCTACCTTCAAGCCAGTTCTGTATCCAATTGACTAGTTCTCCCTGTATTCCATGTAATCTAACCTTGCTAACCAATCTACCATGTGGAACCTTGTCGAATGCCTTACTGAAGTCCATATGGATCACATTCACCAATCTGCCCTCACCAATCCTCTTTGTGACTTCTTCAAAAAACTCAATCAAGTTAGTGAGACATGATTTCCCACACACAAAGCCATGTTGACTATCCCTAATCAGTCCTTGCCTTTCCAAATACACGTAAATCCTGTCCCTCAGGATTCCCTCCAATAACTTGCCCACCACCAATGTCAGGCTCACCGGTCAATAGTTCTCTGGCTTTTTCTTACCACCTTTCTTAAATAGTGGAACCACATTAGCCAACCTCCAGACTTCCGGCACCTCATCTATGTGTATCGATGATACAAATATCTCAACAAGGGGCCCCGTAATCACTTCCCTCGGATCCCACAGAGTTCTAGAATACACCTGATCAGGTCCAGGGGACTGGTCCACCTTTGTGTTTTAAGACATCCACCACCTCCTCTGTAATATTTTTCAAGATGTAATATAGATATTTATGTCCCCATGTTCTCTATCTACCATATCCTTCTGCCCAGTAAACACTGATGCAAGATACTTGTTTAGTATCTCACCCATCTCCTGCAGTTCCAGACATAGGCGGCCTTTCTGTCCTTAAATATATTGTAGAATCCTTTGGATTCTCCTTAAAAAACTACCTCATGTCCCCTTTGCTCTCCTGATTTCTCTCTCAAGTATGCTCCTACAGCTTTTTTACTGTTGAAGGGATTCACTCAATCTCTACTGTATGTACCTGACATATGCTTCCTTCTTATTCTTGACATAT